GAAGTAGCAACGAAAATAATTTTATGCTTGGGTCACAACATGAGGAACTGTATTAAAAGGCCAGAAGGTTGAGAACCACTACCCTAGGGTCTCCTCCCTCAGGCCCAATACTACCCATCTGATCAGTCTTGGGGGAGCCCTGGTGGCAGGTTAAGACAGGAATCCTTTCCCAATGAGCTTCCTTTCTGCAATGCCTTCCGAGATGTAAGGGGCTGAAGGGGTCGAGGGAGACAGCCTACCAGTCAAGCCTAAGTCAACACTAAGGCCCCTGGGGCCAACTCTGGGGCCACCTTACCCCCAAACCGGCCCTCGGGAGTGGGGCCAAAGGGCCTCAGTCTTTCCAGCTTAAAAAAAAAATGGGGATACGACAGGACAAGGTTTGGGACTGACGCAGGCAGACAGACGGATGGACTACCGCAAATAACACTCCTTACCCCATAATCTACAGGGCAAGGTGACAGAGAGGGTGACCACACCCGCGACCAGCATGGCAGGAGGCGGACGGACCGACCCAGATGACAAGACGGTCCTACGTCCCCCTACCCCGTGCTTGGAGCCCATGCAAACCGGGGAGACAGCCCCCCTCACCCCCGTACCCGGTCCTGCCCGACGCAGGAGCCAACAGACCCACTACTCGACTCGTGCCTCACCCAGGACCACCGGAGGGGGGCGTCCGGTCGGAAGCGCGGGGTGTGCGAGCAGCAGGAGGAGCAGGAGGCCCCCCGGGAGCAGGGCTGCGCGGCGCGGGCAGCGGCGGGGACCCATGGCGCGGGGCGGACCGGACTCCTGGCGCCGACTCCCAGCTCCTGGCTGGCGCCTAGGCCGGGCGCGGCGACGCGCTTAACCCCGCCGCCCACCGCCTCCACGGCGGCCGGGCCAATCAGGGCCCAGCTCCCGCAAGCCGCCGGCCAATAGGGACTCGCCCCCAGTGCGTCCCGCCCAGTCGGAGCTGGCGGCCGGGCTCCAGCTGGTCCGGGACTTGCTGCCCTGACAGCGCTGCGAGCCGAGCGCATCGATCTGTTCAGGCTCAGCCTGGCTTCCACCCTCCGGCCAGACCCAGCCCCGCCGCCGCTGCTGGGGACCCAGCCCAGCCCCCCATCCTCCGAGCCCTCACCCCCCGCCCCCCGATTCCCGGCGCCTGCCTGACCTGGAATCTGGAACGATCCTGGCTGAGCGGCGATTCATGGTCCAGTGATCGCGGCCGCTGAGCGACTCCGGTCACAGCCAAGGGGAAGGAAAGTAAGCCCCAGACAGTTTGGCGGCCTCAGGGGGTCAGAGTTGACCAGGACCTTTGCGCAACCCCCCCCCTCCCCCGCCGCCTCCGGTTCTTCACACCCTGCCCAGAGGATATCTGAGTTGTTCAGGCAACCCACACCCGGGCAGGCACCCCTTTGCCGTCTGCCCCCCGGGAATTGGATGGGACGGGGACAGGCCAAGTCAGCAGGTTTCATTTCTGAGTGAGATGTATGTCCTCCCTTTTAGGGGCGCGGAGTATGGAGTCACCCCAACAAACGGAGCAGTTCACGGGCACGGTTGAGAGTGGGCTTGAGCCCTGACCCTGCGCCATGGCCCATCCGCAAGTTCCCTCCAGAGCGGGCCGGGTATTGGGACCTCCCCGCACACGCGAACATGGAGATCAAGGGAGGACACAGACCCCCTGCAGGAGGAATGGGGCGAACACAGTGGGCAAAGACTTGACAGGCGGCGATATACCAGGACCATGCATCTCTCTGGGAGAGAGGGACCATGTGTTGGAGACTGGAGGTCTTGATCCTCCACACATTCCCTCCCAAGGGCCAGTCACACCCTGATCAGCTGATTTCAAAATAAACCTCCCTCCCCTCCCTCCCTCCCTCCCTCCTCTTCCTTCCTTCCTCTTGGTCTGTAGCTGACCCTTTCCACTCCCTCCCAGTGCCCCGCAATGAATCTACACACCATCTTAGCCTGTCTCTCCTATTTTCTTAGAGTGAAATACATTGGTCCTCCTTTAAGGTCCAACTACCTCCAACTTCAGGCTCTAGCCTGAGGCCTCTTCCCTCCCCCCCACCCCTAAAAAACCACCCCTGCCTCCCTCACCTCCATCCCAGACCTCAGTAGAAGAGTCCCTGAAAAAACAACAACAACAAAAGAGCCCCTGAGGACTGACCTGGCAGGCCCAGTGTGGGAAATCATAGAGAGCCTTCTGCCAGGGCTAGGGACAGGCAGTAGATGAAAGATCAAGGGTTAAGTGGGGAGGGAACAGGGAGCATGACAGCTTGGGCCACTTTGAACCCTGGGCACAGTCTGAATGTCTTGTCAGCCCAACAGTCTCAGGCGACCATGGGTCCCTCACAGGGCGGCTCTGTCCTCGGAAGTGGTTCCCGAGGTGCCCCACTCCCACAGGCCCTGCAGGTGGTAGGAACCATGGCCACTGGGGGAGGGGGGTGCCATGGTTTGGTCAGCAATGACTCATGCTGGCACAGTGGAGAGGAGTCAGAAGGTGAGGGTCCCCCCTTTTCACATGCCACAACCATCCACACGATTTCTGCAGGAGGAATGGTGGTGAAGAGTGGGCAGAGACTTGGAGTCATCCTGGGCTCTAGATACCTCCCTGACGCTCAGGCCCACAGCCAAGTGCTCATCAAACCTCCCCAACTCTATCCTCCCAAAGCCAAACTACCCTCATCCCCATTGTTCTCCACATGCCAGATTGACATTATTAAACTGTGGGGAGCTGATATAGGGTTAAGCCTCAGACTGACCTGTGGGCAAAGTCATAAACAATTCCCAGCTTAGAGGGCACAGTCCTCTTAGCATAATTTTTTTTAAATATATTTTATTGATTTTTCACAGAGAGGAAGGGAGAGAGATAGAGAGTCAGAAACATCGATGAGAGAGAAACATCGATCAGCTGCCTCCTGCCCATCCCCCACCGGGAATGTGCCCGCAACCAAGGCACATGCCCTTGACCGGAATCGAACCCGGGACACCTCAGTCCGCAGGCCGAAGCTCTATCCACTGAGCCAAACCGGTTTCGGCCTCTTAGCATAATTAGGCTTGACCTTATTACGCTCCCTAGATCTTACTCGGGAAGCTAATGGGCTGAGGGAAGTGCAACAAGAACAAAAACAAGTGAAACTTACAAGAACAAAAAAAAACAAGTGAAACTTACAAGAACAAAAATAAGTGAAACTCACAAGAACAGTGTAAACAAGTAAAACTTACAAGAACTGTGTAACTATGGAAACCACTACCTTATTTACCGCTCACTATAAAATAAAGGCTCAGCTTGCCTTGGGATCTTTTTCTGTGGCCTCAGCCAGGCACAGGGAAGATCCACGGAGACTAAGGAAAGCTACAGAGTTCTGAACGCTGTCTCTGTGTAAAACATTCTTCGCCGACTCCGTCCGCACCTTTGGGACCCCCTGGACCCCATGGGGCTGGACCCCAGCATTAAACATTGTCAGGCTCCATCATGTCCACCTAATCCCATTCATGGCTCTCCTATTGCATGCATGAATCAGAGTGAATGAGGACCCTGCTGTGTACCCTGGCTGTCTCCCCCAATTTCCACTCTGGTAGCTCTCTCATCTCCAGCCTCAATGGCTTCCTTGCTGCTTAGAACAGAAAAACCTCATTCTCCCGCAGGACTTATGCACTTGTTGCACTGGGCCTAGTCTGCAGCCTCCACTTTTGGGGACTCAGTTGAGCTCTGCATTTAGGCCTCAGCCCAGACATGGCCACTGACTTTGAAGTAGCCCTTGCCTGGCTCCCATTAAAATATAATCACTGGCCCTGGCCAGTGTTTCTCAGTGGTTAGAGTGCCGTCCCATGCATGGAAGGGTCACAGGTTAAATTCCAGGTCAGGGCACATACCCAGATTTCAAGTTTGAGCCCTGGTCGGGGCATGTATGGGCGATAACTAATTGATGTTTCTCTCTCATATCGAGGTTTCTCTCTTTCTCTCTCTCCCACCCTCTCTCTTTAGACTCAATGAGGAAAAAAACCCACAAATCCTTGGGTGAGGATAAAAATAATTACATATAATAAATATATGTGTATGTGTATATAAAATCACTGAAAGAATAGGCCCCTCACCTGTCCTATTACCACCAGCACAGTCCCTGGCATACAGCAGGTGCTTAACATATGTTGAACGAATGAGACCACCCCCTTCTCTACAACCCTTCCAGGATAGTATCCTAGTGCCTGTCAGAACTGGAAAAGGAACAACCCAATCAAGACCAGGGCTTCTGAGCTGGTTTGGTAGCTAGAACTGAGCCCATTTGGAGGTCAACTTACTCTCCTAAAGCTCATGGCTCAGCAGGCTCCTATTCCTCTGCTGCCAGAGCCTCCCCGGAGTCACGAGAGGCCAAACACTGACCCAATCATGACAGAGCCCTGCGGGAACTGGCCTGGGCATCAAGGAAGGCTGCCTGGAGCAAGAATTAGGGATGGGTCTTGAAGAACAAGTGGAAGTTTGTCATGAAAAAGAGTGCTCCAGCAGGGAGCGTAGCATGTACAACAGCCTCCAGACCTGAACAATCCCAGCAGTGTGTCTGGAGCACATGGTGGGTGAGAGTGGAACTGAGGTGGAGGGCCCTGGGGACCAAGCTTAAAAACTTGGGAGGGAGCGGGGGAGACATAAAAAGAAAAAGAAAAAACGTGGCCTTTGTCCAGGGAGCCAGGAGCTGCGAAGATTCTCAAGCCTGAGAGGGGCGGCTGGGGTGCGGGGGTGGAGGGTGCGGGGGTGGAGGGTGCGGGGGTGGAGGGTGCGGTTGCGGGGTGTGTGTGTGTGTGTGTGTGTGTGTGTGTCAAGGGCCTTCCCCTTTCACCTTAAGTAGAACCTTCCAGTGCTGCTTCTTCAAGGAAGCTGGATCCAGCGGCAGAGTCAGCGCGCCCCTGGCGGGGATTCGGCAAAGGGGCGGAGATGGAGACTCGGGGGGAGCCCCGCTCTGGAGGCCGGGAGATGAGGCGGGGTGGCCTGGTGCCGCCGGGCCCGCTAAGGGTGGGGATGGGCCTGGGACAGCGCGTGTGGATCGCCGCGGGGGACACCAGCTGGCACCCAGCGTCGAATCCTCTCTCACAGCAGGGTGTTTTCTGGCCAGGGAGGAGGTTTTACACCACTCCTAGGCTCCCCGGAGGTCCACGAGACCCGCCACACTCCCGTCCCAGGCGAGGATCCCCACCCGGGTATCTGCCCATATCAGCGGCAGGAGCGTCCACTGCCTTCGCGGCAGGACTTGCCCTTCGGGTCCTGCCACGAAGTGAGGGGAAGAAGCGAGGATGGGATTCCTAGAGCGAGGCTAGGCTGGAGGGACCAAGTTCCTCTCTCCCAAATACCTGGAGTACGATTTGGGAAAGGCATCCGGCAGGACCGCTGGGGCCTCACTCACCCTTCTGGCAAACCTTATCTCCATTCATTCATTCATAATTCCTAAGTCCTAGTGAGAGTGAAGTGGGAGGCTTATCAGTGAAATACAGATATTTCAAACTACTGTAGGGATCTTTGCTTCAAAGGGCGGTGCCTTGAGGGGAAAACCTGGAGGAAGAGCACTGTTAACCAGGTCAAGGGCGAGTTGTTAGGGAAGTGAAGAAAGCAGATGAGACACTAGTGTAAAGCCTCTGGCTCAGGGAAGATGACTATCGCTGGAATACCCAGAGGCAGACAAGCAAGCCAGCCATTTATTCACTGGGTCTTCAGCAACTATAATGCTCCCTAAGTATCTCGGGGGATTGGTTCCAGGACCCCACTCCTCCTAATGCCCCCATACCAAAATTATCCGGATGCTCATATATATAGGGTGTCCCAAAATTCACGCAAGATTTGAATTTTGCGTGAGCATTAACAACAACAAAAAATAAAAGCCTAATTTTACTTGGTTTATTGAATCAGATTCTAGTATCTGTTGCCCTTTTATTTCAATCCCTTCAATTTGATAAGCATTATCAAGTACCAATTATGGCCCAGGAGCAGGGACAATGAAGACCACGGCTTTGTGTATGTGCCAGCAAAGCCATGGAGGCCATTTACCTGATGTGCTATTCCATACATAACCCTGTACTGTATACTTTGAGTCAATAAAAAATTTACAATTTTTAATTATAAACTTGTTTTCTATCAAAATTACTTCTTGTGTGAATTTTGGGACACCCTATATAAATGAGATATATATATATATTGATCCGCAGTTGATTGCATCCAGGGTGAGAACCTCGATTTGGGAGGGCCAACTGGCACATACACAAAGCCGTGGTCTTCATTGTCCCTGCTCCTGGGCCATAATTGGTACTTGATAATGCTTATCAAATTGAAGGGATTGAAATAAAAGGGCAACAGATATTAGAATCTGATTCAATAAACCAAGTAAAATTAGGCTTTTATTTTTTGTTGTTGTTAATGCTCAACTGTACTATGTCCCAGGCCCAGTGAGAGCCCCCTGGGAATGAGCCTGTCTTTCAAGGATAATGGTGTTTCTCATGGGTGGGAGCTGGAGCAGGGAAACAATGAGTGACTTATCCTTTTAAAATATATATATTTTTAATTGATTTCAGAGAGGGAGAGAAACATCCAATGATGAGAATCATTGATTGGTTGCCTCCTGCACGCCCCCTACTGGGCATTGAGCCCGTAACCTGGCATGTGCCCTTGACGGGAGTCAAACCGGGGACCCTTTAGTCCGCAGGCTGACGCTCTATCCACTGAGCCAAACCAGCTGGGGCATAAATGCCTTACTGTGTTAGAAGTTGGTTTAGTGCTGGGGGAAAGGAGATGTCAGAGCCGAATAGAGGACAGGAGTGCGGGGTACTTAGTATTAATGGGGTCATTTGGGAGGACCCATCCTAAGATGAGTAAGAGAGATCAACACAGCAGGGTCCTTAAGGGTATTTTAACTAATTTAGTTTTTCAAGGAGAATCCAAGCCTCGGGCATTGTCCTGCGACGGGGGGCGGTCGGACGGAGGCAAGGGGGTTTGCGGGAGCCTCCGCACGCACGCTGCCAGCCCCTTGGCTCAGGTTCACTATCCGGTAGGGACTTGGACACGCATGAAGGCGTCTTCCATGGGAATGCGCTCAGGGATGCCACGCTGGGAAGGTCTTCACCTCGAGAGGGAGGCTTCGGGAGGCGCCAGCGTGGAGACCCGCGCGGAACAGGGAAAAGCCAAACGCGGACTAGAGGTTGGCCGCAAGGGGGCGCTAGGATGGGTGAGACAGCGATCCAGCAGCGCCAGGACGGCCCGCGGGGGGCGCCCGGGCTCGGTCCCGAAGGCGCAGCCCGGAGAAGAGCCCACGAGGAGCGATGTGCGCCAGGGCAGCTTTAGGAGAGTCCGGGGCTGCGAGGTGCCGCTGCGCGGAAAGCGGAGCCGGGAGCCAGGCCCGACTCGGGGAAGAAAGGGCTGACTCCGCGCGGCGCATGCGCGTGCCGGGGGGCGGGGCCTGACCTCGCCGCGGCGCCCGGCCCCGCGAGCAAATATTTGACATTCCAGACTTATCTCGAGGGGGGCGAGGCCCGAAGAGCGACGTTGCCCGGGCCCGATTGGCTTGGCGTTTGCAGGGGTGGGCGGTGCAGAGAGGGGCAGCGGCATGTGGACGCCAGGCTACACCCCCAGGGGAAGCGCCGGAAGGACTGTCTGCTTCCCACTCTCCCTCCAGGCTGCCGCGTGCCGGTGCGAGTCACCTCCGACCCCGGCGCTTCCGTCTTTATCCTTCAAATGGGGGCGCGCCGGAGTGTGGGTTCAGTGGGCAAGGCGTCGGAGCCCCGTCCACCCGGGCGTGTTCGCCACCCGAGGGTCCGGACGCAACGCCCTGTTTTCCCGAAACCGCGAGGTGAGGCTCCCGCCTCAGGGTCAGCCCGGTCTTGGCCACCCCATGTCTTTGTTCTCGCCGGGCTGGAGTCCCTTCTTCCCACCGGATTCTTACTCAGTTTCTTAGTCACATAGACGGGAAAATGGGGGGGAAACGCGCCGTAAAGGAGCCTCAGCAAGACGGACTAGGCGAAAGGGGGCTGGGAGGCCTCCACGCGGGACGGTCCGATCGGGATGTCGGTCCCGGAAGGAGGAGAGGTTGTGCAGCCCGCGCGCACAGTGCACCTTTGCTGCTGGTCCCCACCCGCCAGCGCGCTCCCATCTCTAGGCAACAGCAGGCCCCTCGCCAAAGGGGCAGGGCCACGAAAACAGGCCGAGTCCCCACGTGGGGTAGGGTTGAGGCTCCTGGCCCGGCCCATCCGGCTGGGCCCGGTCTAGAGTGCCCCTCTCTGGAGTTGGGGAGCGGGGTGTCCTCTTTCTGCAGCACCCAGGCCCGCGCACCTCCGAACGCGCTTTGGCACCAGGTGCGCTCCTGGAGCCAGGCTAAGGCCTGGCCTGCCCACCTGTGTGGACAGACTCTGCCCTGCGAGTCTGACCCCCCCCCCCCCACGACTCCTAATGGCCTCTCGGGACCCCCCCCAGTCTCCCCTCCGGGTGAGGGGGCCTGGGGTGAGACCCGGGAAAATTTGAACCGCCCCCTTTTGAGCCTTTTTGGGGATTTCTGTCACCCCCCAGAACCGGCCCGACCCCCCCAAAACTCCTACACTGAACCGTTGGGGAGTTTTTCCCAAGTCCCATGTGACCCCTTAGGACTAAAAAAAGCCCTCTGGTTTTGCCCGTTTCCTTTGGCTGAGGCCTTATGGTGGGAAGAAGGAGACGAGGAAAAGCAAGAGGAAGAGGCTCCCCCCACAAAACAGCCCCATG